TGCCCGTCGGGGCGGTCGGGCTGCTGGGGCAGTCGTTGCTGCGTGCTGGGGGAGCGCCATCGGTGGGAGACTGCTCGAGGTTAGGAGCCTGCAGATGTAGCAAGGGGAAGCGTTTACTTGTCATCAGGGCTTCTCCTGGGACTGGAAATACGGTGTCTGGCATCACTTTAGTCATGTCAGGGCTCCAAAGGGGGTGTCCCTGTCTTTGGAGGGGGCTTTTATCTTCCAAGTGTGGCAGTCATCCATGATGTGATATCAATGGTGAAGAAAGACACTATAGGTGAAGTATGTTGTGGGCCATCCAGCAGCGCTTGTCCTCTGAGGAACTTTGGCTGGTTAAATGTACTGAAGCCTATGTATCTGACATAATTTATGTGCCGGACCTTAAAGGTTTTTAATATGGAAGATGTTGCTGTGTTGCAAAAACACAGACGCTTGAAAATAGTTTTGCTACTTGGAGCTTTAGGAAAGTCAAATTGGAGACTTTATTAGACAAATCTATTGGAATGGTGTATGCCCTCATCATGCTGATCTTACTACATCCCACTTCAGTCTCTAGGGCTGTCAGCTTTTTGCTGCTGGTACGTTAATTCTGTAGTTGCTTTAGAGCCTGAAAATTAGAGTCAGACTAGCCCTTGATTAGATCTGGGAAGGAGAACAATGATGGTAGGAATAGCTGCCTGGTTCTCCATCTCTTCCCATGTTCACTGAAAACATGCTTCTGCAGCTGTACCTGGATAGTAGGTTGTGGCATCAAAGCTGCCTGTCTATGCTTCCTCCTCCATGGTGTTGTTTGTAGCAACTATTGCAGCAGAGGCCTGCAGGTACAGGGATAAGAGATGTTTCTGTGCTGCAGTTTGACTAGGAGAGTATGCCAAGTGGGGTCCCTGCAGGTTAAATAGTTGACAGTTTTCTGTAGCCATCTTGTCCTGTTGAACCAAAGGAATAGGAGCCTTTTGAATACAGTGTCTTGAAAAACAGAAAGAACAAGAGTAGAAAGCAAACAAAGGAAAATTGTCTGGAATAAAAATAGTGGTAAATGTTCCCAGATATCATGCAGGCAGGTAATCTGGGCTGAAGGACTATTCAGAGGCAGTTGCAAGAGGGAAAGTCTAGAAGATAATTATAGAAAACATCAGGAGCTTCCTCAAGAGAGCTGTGCACTGTTGATGTTGTGTTGTCTTCAGGGGGAGATTTGTAAAATGCCATTACTAGTGGAAGATTTCTTTGTCGGTAAGTAGCCTAGGCCATTGGTTTCTGCAGTATTTATGTTCTCATTTGAGATGCTAAATTCTAATCCATAATGCTGTGGAGATAACCTTCCAGTTGTACAACTCATGTAAGCCAATCTAGTGTTGTCTTCCCAAGACTGCAGAAGTTGGTGTGGCTTCTGCTTGCAGCTCAGGTTCATCAGCCCCAGAGATAAATTTTCAAGAATATGGCATGTTTCACAGACTATGCAGACAGTAATGCAGCTTCAGAAACGTGTTGATTTTATGCTACTACTGCTGTCATCTGAAGAAGCAGCTGATGGGATTATTTGTGAGCCATTTAGTTCTTTGTGCTGCTATGTGTTGCCTTTGAGGGTGCTTTCTTTTGAAGGAAACAGGTTTATTTAGTTTGACAGACTTTGAGCTTGATGCCTGCTATGTGTATATCCAAAGCTTTAAGTGCATTCTCGGGTACTTAGGGGATGTTGAAAGAAATTCAGTAGACTAACTAAATGTATCTGCCATGACGTGAGAAACAAAGTATCTTTTAAAGTTTAAAGGGTGCTACAAACGTGTCAGGTTTTTTTTTTTTTTTAAAAAGATTTAGGGTGCTCGCACGAGACTCTTCAGAGTCTCATGCCTTTGGCTTTTTTAGGCTAAAAAAGCCTTTGGCTTTTTTATGTTAATGCTACACAGTGTAGCTAGGTTGTTCTTAATTTATTGCCCGCTCCAAACACTATAGCCCTGGACATGAATCTGAAGGTAACTTGTCATGATGTTCATCTCAAAAAAGTAATGACAGTAACACTTAGGTTTTGTTATCTTCAAAATCCTTTTCTAGCATTCATCTATATTAAAATTGTGTGTGTGTGTATATACACATATGTATACGCGCACGTAGATGTCTAAAAACATTTGTAGTCTTTGTTCCCTAGTCTGTGGGGATAATCGTGTTACTGAGACGTGCTCAAATATCACAGAGAAGGTGTATATGTGCTGACCCAAATTGGTAAACTAGTGACATCATTTTAAAATACGTTTTTATTTATTTATTTTTTACACTAGGAGCTCTTGTCATTGGCCAAACGGAAACGCAGTGACTCCGAAGAGAAGGAACCACCTGTGAGCAAACCTACAGCATCTTCAGACTCTGAGACATCAGATAGTGATGATGAGGTGAGTTTGTCTTGTTATCACTGAATTTACTATGGGTTACTTGTCTGAGCATACCTAAGCAGTGAAAGTATATTTAGCGTGCTGACTTCAGTGGAACTGATGGAGGCCCATTAAGCCCAGGGGGAGTGTACTCAGAAATACTTTTTTCTTTTAATTAACAAGCCAGAAATTATAACTGTGTACAAAATAGTCTGAATGTCTATAGTAGACTAACTAAATGTATCTGCCATGACGTGAGAAACAAAGTATCTTTTAAAGTTTAAAGGGTGCTACAAACGTGTCAGGTTTTTTTTTTTTTTTTAAAAAGATTTAGGGTGCTCGCACGAGACTCTTCAGAGTCTCATGCCTTTGGCTTTTTTAGGCTAAAAAAGCCTTTGGCTTTTTTATGTTAATGCTACACAGTGTAGCTAGGTTGTTCTTAATTTATTGCCCGCTCCAAACACTATAGCCCTGGACATGAATCTGAAGGTAACTTGTCATGATGTTCATCTCAAAAAAGTAATGACAGTAACACTTAGGTTTTGTTAT